GCTATCAAAATACTCGGGGTGAGACTGACAGCACTTGGGCCCCCGCCTGACCATGGGGACATACTGGTTACTATGGCAATTGACAGACTGGCTAAGTGGGCAGGGCTGCAAACTTCCTTAGCCGGAAGGGCCTTAGCTATGAATAATGCCATTTTAGCGGCCATATGGTATAAATTGGCAGTTTGGCCTTTGAAACCTAAACAGTATGCAAGACTGAGGAAAACACTCTCAATATACCTGTGGAAGAATAGTGTCGTTGAGCAGAGATGTTTGCAGAGAGTGAGCTGGGATGTCCTTACGCAACCAAGAAGTAGAGGGGGGCTTGGGATATTGGATCCCGAAATGGAGAGCGATGTGTTGATTTTTAAAGTCCTGGTGAGGCTGTTGGTAGGAAATGACATCCCGTGGAGCCAACTGGTTTGTTTGCAGATAGCTGCCCTGGCACCGGAGTCAACATCGGACAACCATTTGCATCCTTCTAGATGGTTACCCAATAAACACTGGTCAATACCCTCCCCCTCGCAGCACAGTCGTGGCAGTGTCCCTCAACAAGCGGTTAGAATGAATCTCCTCCTCGATCCGATGTGGCCATATCTGCTGAGGCTGTGGAGGAGGTGTGGACCACACCAGATCCGGCCCCCCAATAGATGGCAGGGCATATGGAGGCAACCGTTGTTTCGCAACCCCTACATCTTGGACGATAAAGGCAACCCATTTTGTCTTACAACGAACTCACATTGGCTTACCTGGACCAAAAGGGGAGTTTACACGGTTGCAGATCTCTGGGACTCGTTCAAAAACGACTGGGTCATGGTTGAGGTGTTGCAACGCAAACTTAAATGTGTGAAAAATGTGGGAAAGAGGGTGCAGGAGCTTAGGGACGCCCTCCCCCTGGCCTAGCAACAGACCCTGATAGCTGGACCGGAGATGCAAAAAGGGGACTGGGTAATCAAATATAAGGACCTCCCCCTCCCGCTCACCATATATAAAGTTAGCCCCAATAACGAAGGGCGCTCTGAACTTGAGGCCTATAGCTCCCAGATGCCAGGGGACAGATTTGCAAAACTCACCTGGAAGGGTCGGAACGAAAACTTGGACACTCAGGAAACCTAGGTGGGATTGGTGCACGTCAGAGTGGTCGGGGATGACCACGAAGGGTTTCCCATGTACGAGCCCACGACCCCGGTGGCCAAGTTGCCTTTTGACCCAGGGGAATGGCACGGGCCTGAAACCAAATCCATGCATATCTGGAACTACACTGTTAAAGGGGCCTACAGAGCCTTGCGTCCTCGCATCCCGATTGATCAGACGCTAACCCGTAGATGGGAGCGGGATTCCCCCCTCGACTCTCGGACAATGGAAGAGCTTCCATGGGGCAAGTACTCCAAAATCATGCCTACGAACCTCAGGGCCCTACAATGGCAGATACTGCACCGGTGCTTACCCACCCCGGACTGGCTAGTCTCGCACATAGACCAGGAACTGAAGGGGCTCTTGTCTCCCATTTGCGCCTACTGCGGTAGGTCTACTCCCCCGGCTAGGGCAACGTTGGAACATTGCCTGCTGGCCTGCCCAATGGTTACCCAATTGTGGCAGTGGTGGGATGCGGCCTTCCACTTTCTTACGGGGTTGTGCATTCCATGGGACCTTGGCCTCTTGTTGCTGGACAAGTGTCACCACCTCATTGCTAGTTGGCCCTCGTATGCCACCAATCTCTTCTAAAATATGAGGCTGCACCTTCTCATGCTGGCCTGGCGAATGAGATGCTCATTTGAACGGAAGGACCACCAATTTGGACTGCTGCAAGCCCAAGAAACAGCTGAAGAGGAGATCAGGTCTCGTGTGCGTGACGCATGGAAGTCCTTCATAACTCAATATAGGGAGGAGAAAGATCACACAGTCAAACAAACCATCTACGAAACTTTCCTCCACCTATCGCAGGATCCGCTCCATAAATTCTCTGAACTGGACGCCGGCCTCAACATCCATTGGAAGTCGTGGAGGGCGACTGAGCAGACATGGCAATGTAGGCCGCACCACTGTTTTCAAGTTCCCTATCTGCAAACCAACTTTACCCTTGTTACACACCACTCGCCCGATCCGTAGTCACCCCCCTTCCCTCTCCCAATCAACACTCCCTTCCTCCCGGACCCTCCCGACCTCCATCCACTCCCCTCTTGCTCTCTTCCCCCATCCACCTCCCCTCGCTCCTTCCAAATGGCGACAAGACAGGGTCCGGCCAATGTGCGAACTCAGAACTCACGTGTCGGCGACAACTCAGTGATATGCTGCAGAATGAACCCCCAAAGCGGTGTAGCCCCCACAGGAGGATGGATTGCTCACGCCGTAGGCAAGGAGGCTGCTACCTCTGACCAAGACAGATGAAGTGACGGAGTAAGCAGAGAATGGCAAGTCCTCATAAGGCCAACGGAGGGGTCGGGACGACAGACTCCTTCAGGACGAAAGCTGCAATTGTAGCAGGCCAAAGACCCTGCCTTGACAGTCTTTTGTTTTGTATAGTTTTGTTTGGCAGCTACAGGGGTTGTGACAATTGATGGTTAATTAGGAATACCATGACCCGCTAGCATATGTCATAACTTTGTGTCTGGTACTTAACGCATGTAACTCATGTGGATCTGACTCCAGTATATGATGTTAAGGGACGCTGGACCCGGTTTCCAGCAGGTCCCCACCAATGGAACGGAGCGATCCAAGGGTGGGTGGGTAGAGGGAGTGTCTGCTCTTATCATCACCCCCTCTACCTCCAGTCGTCGATGTTAAAAAAAAAAGAAAAAAAAAAGAACATGGACAGAGAGAGGTGAGACCCACAAACATGGGGTTTGGGACAACAATTTTTAACGGGGGTAGTAGGGGTGACCACTTCGTTGGCGACAAGATCGTCTCCCTGGTAGCAAGTGCTCCTCTGTACGCCTGTGTGGAAGGTGTCTCCAGTGGCTGTAGATCTCGGCCACCTCGTCTCATCCACGGTGGTCGTCGATTCGCTCCCAATACTGCCCGACGCAGGGATTCGGTTGTGTTCATCATAATTGCGTCGTTATGTTGTTGTTACGAAAGTTTTGGCATGTGTTGCATTCGCGGTCCGGCTTAGTGTTTTCCGCAGGTGCGGCTCGTTCGGTAACAGTTCCAGAGGTTTGCGTGCTTCTTTCCCGTTTCGGAGACGGTGGTGGTGGCTGGCGGGGGGGGGGTCGCCTTTCTTTTTTTTTTTGGTTTGACGTCATCTTTTCACCGCGGTTAGTACCGCTTCGGTTAAACGTGTGGAGGTCGCAAGTTTCCTTACCGTGTATATGGAAGTTGACGACTTGAAGAGCTTTGCACGCCTTTCTTGCTTTTTTGTTTGTTGTCAGATTTTCACTGCGGTTAATACCGCTTCAATTAGACGTGCAGATGTCGTGTTGTTTTTTAGTGTCTGATGTCGAAGTTGACGGCTTGAAGAGCTTTGCACACGCGCATTGACCTTTACTTCGTCCGTGGCTTTTATTTGAATCTAGTGCCATTTGAGTGCTTATCGTCGTAGCCTGCATACTGTGTATTTATTGTCGCACGTCAACGTTGATTTTTTGTTTGTTGGTGTGTCTTGTTGTTTCCTGCCTTTCCAGTGTGTGCACCATGTTTCGCTACAGTCGGACTGCATAGCGTTCAAGCTTTTGATGTCCCTCCTCCCTGTCGTTTGCCTTCGGTTGTTGTATGTATTTTTTGTAATTTGAGTACGCACTTTTTTGTTATAGGGGTCGGTCGTGGGGGTGGCTGCACGGTTTGCATCTTGTGGACATCATACAGCAGCGCCTGGGGCAATGTCCTTTCCTTATTGTTGTTTTTCACTCTCTTTTTTTTTTGCCTGCCTCTTTTGCAGTAACGTTCTAGTTACCTTTGGTGTATTCTATATCGTTGCAACAAACACGGGCACTCACGCCTGCCACTGTTGTTACCGCCCGCGTTATTGTTAGTGCTCCCAGGAGATCTCTCTCTCTCTCTCTCTCTCTCTCTCTCTCTCTCTCTCTCTCTCTCTCTCTCTCTCTCTCTCT